GAGTGTAACCCTTAAACACACTGTAGTTTATTATATTCCAAAGAAATGATGTATAAGGTTTCTTACCTTTCACTGGCCTGTCAAAGGAGCATTCTAGATTTGTCTCCATGTATCCTGTAATTCAGTGTAGTGATATTCTCAAACACCACGTGTTTGGAGCTTTATCTAAAGAAAACGCAATGAGCCTCCTTCTGAATAAAAGGCTTTGAAGGCTGGATAAACATTACAATGTGGTCAACGAGAGAAATGTGGCAGACAGAGTGAGAGAGAACTTAAAACTTACCGAAAACCTCCCACTGAGAGCGACGACATGCTGAGGCTGCAGACTATACTACCAGGAAGATGAGGCAGGGATGTGTGCATGAGTGTGTGTAGCCTATATATGCTGTAATGAGCAAACCCTCTCTCTCTCTCTCTCTCTCTCTCTCTCACACACACACACACACACACACACTCATCCTCACTCTCTGTGAAAAATCCAATAAACGAAGATGCATGTGTGTATTTTGTTTCTGTGAAATGTTTATATTCATGACATAACAGAATTATAACATACATACAAAATGAATAAGATAAATATAAAAAAATAAAGAAAACTTAAAAGTAAACAAAAAGACACAAAATGAATTAGATAAAAATAATAATTAAACTTAAAAGAAAACTAGAGCAGAAGGTGTTAACTCAATTCAATTCAATTCAATTCAATTCAAAAAAACTTTATTTGTCCCCAGGGGGCAATTCAAACTGATAACTGATCATAAATTTGACCCCCATATTCAATTTGGCAATTTTCCTCTGTCGTCACGCTCAGGGTGGGAAGTTCATGACATAGGACTGCTTACATCCAGGATGAAAATTGAGGGGGACTCTTTTAATTTCACCGCTTACTCATCAGAGACCTCAAAAGCCCCTTTTCGATCGTAGGAACGTTCCCTCTGAACTAGGGACCCTTTGAGGAAGAATATAGAGTATACTTTCCTTTTTAATGAAACACCAAACACAGCACTCGTCTTATTAGCTAAAAATGTACCCCAGGTCAGCCCTGTTATTATCAATTAGTATATTTAACAGTCTTCTTAGTTTTTACTTACCTGGTTTGTTGAACCCACCAGATCTCTGTTGAGGTGGACGGGGTCACAGACCCTTTCGAGCGTGTAGAAAGGAATATACCTGAAGCATTTCAGGTGCAGGACCAGCACTCTTTATTTTGTGTATTTATTTTAACAATGATGGGTAAAATATACAATTTTACATTTTTTAAATTTGTATTTTTTTTGTTGTAAAATCCAGAAGCAATGAAAAGATGACAATGTGTCACATTCACTTGGTTTAAAGGTTTAAGAGCTTAGCGTCTGAAATAGGCCTTTTGGCAAGCAAATATTAAAACCAATAATCTAAAGGCCTTGTGTTTAGATCATTGATATTTGTCCAGTGCTGGTGGGTTTCTTGTTAACTTTATTTTATGGCCTATTTACTTACTTGTTCAGTAGTTTCATCAGAGTTGCATTTAGATTTATTTCATCACGTTTATTACACACAGTGTAAGACATAAAAAGGTGTGCTAAGGGTGAGTCTTATCCTTCTGGAAATATAAAACCACCTGACACTGTCATTACAATGAGACAGACAACTCCAAAGGACATGGGTGTATTCTTTATAGCATGGCAGATTATTTACCAAAAAGCTGCGTTGTGAATCTCAACACTTGCCTGCCAGAGTTTTATTTTAAGTTGCCAGCATTTTAGATCATATTCACCAATCTCTCAAGACCCCCCTGAATATCTTGTTCTATGAATATGTAAATAGTGAATATATCAAAATAAAGAACAAAGCTTCTGATCTTGTACAAAAAAAAAACATTTTAATGTAGCTTCATTCATTCTTTTTTTAATCAACACTTGAATGTTGGCCATTTTCATTAAAAGAAAAAAACATGAGAAGTTTAAACATCCATTTCAAGCAGAAAATTGATTTCCAATTTACATTAGGGGTTTTCTTACTTCTATGTGGTAACTACAATTGTATTTAATATATATATATATATACTGTATATATATGCAACCCAGAAACGAATACATACAATTATACACGTGAGACATCTTACTAACTTTACATCTTACACATTGTTCTGCAGTTCAACATTCAGAAATCTTTTCTCTCTTTTTTTTTTTACAAACACTTGAATACTGGTCATTTCCAACAATAACAAAAAAACATGTTGAACAATTCCTGAGAAAACTGCATCTTCAAACAGAAGAACTTCTCATTTACATTTGTTTTTTTGATACTTCCTTACGGTAACGTCAATTGCCAGTTTTGGTTTAATAAAAATTAAAATTAGGCACTATAATCTTGCTTTGAGTGGTACAATGTCTAACATTCCCCAAAAAAGGTTTTTGAGGATTGTACACCCTGAAAACTAGTCGCCCATGCCACTGAAACATACCCTCATCAATACAAATGTTTGTGTTAGGTTGATACGTTTCACAGAATTTAGACAAGAGGTAGTCTAAGACAGGGCAGACTGTGTATAATCTGTCAGTACTATTGGCTGCACCTGGCTGCTTCACAGGGGTCCTGGCTTGGTCACCAGCTGCGTCACGCTCACGTAATTGACCCGGTCCATGAGATCCACGTGTCCGACCTCTGCCTTGTTGCTGTGGTCGACCTGTGAGTAGTTATAGAGTAGTTATATAAATTATTAGAATGAATATAAAAATATACAGTATAATTTTGATTCTACAGTGTGGCAACTGTGACATGCACAAAGAAACAAACATTATTTTTGGGGCATTTCATATCTTGTCTCACCTCTTGCACCTCTGGTAGGTGGGATTGGAGAACGAGACCTGGACCTAGACTCACTTGACTCAGTGGCTGATACATTATTATTTCACCTTCTCTCACAATTGAACAGATGCTCTTATCTTGTAACGTCTAGATTCAATCTAAATACAACTCTGATGAAGCTTATAGTTGTTAAAACATAGTAACTTTATCTTTATTTTATTCCTACATATTCTAATTTTATTTGTAGTCTACTCCTATGCATGTTCTCTTGCTGCAAAATTTGAATTTCGCCACTGGGGATCAATAAAGTATTATCTTATCTTATCTTAGTCAAACTAAATAAAACACTATCTAAATGAGCATGTCTTACCTCTTGCACCTCTGGCAGGTCTCAATGAACGAGACCTGGATCTTGAATCCTTCCACTCCGTGTCTATAGTATCACCATGGGCGGATTATCATGACCACAGGCCCTGGACACAAACTCACCTCGGGCCCCTACCGCCACACAAATACAGAATTTCACGCGCAAATATTTCTCGCGCACTGCATGTGCCTTCCTACAAATAAGAGTTTGGTTGCACAATAGTAACCCACAACCACTCAACACATATTCCTTTGAAATTCAAACACGACTGAACTCTATAGAGATACACAAGTATCAATACACAATAAACAGCGCTAAGAAACCAGTGACCTACACAAATACAACAACGCTATCCATGGTTCTGAACCAATAGCGACGCAGCACACACACACACACACACACACACACACACACACACACACACACCCAGCATTTATATGCGGCACACCCAACTTCAGCACACATCCGCAGCACATACACACAGCACACACACACACAGCACATACGCACACACAACACAGATATGTGGCACAAAGCAGAATAGAAACACAGCAATTCCAGAGCCACAGCCACAGTACTCTCATAAAAATAATTAACCCAAAAATATAGACTTTAAGAGATTTAATTACATGTAAATGTTCCATGTATTTTTATTACATAAATTCAAAGTAAAATATTGCATTAAAGTCTAAAGGTTAATATGACATTGTGACAGCTTGAATAAATTAAATAACTTAGACTGATTTCATTGAGTTAGATTAATGAAAACTTTAACTTTAACATAAACCTTATTAATTAATTTAACTAATTTAATATAAACCTTAGTTGATCTTTAACATAAACCTCATTAATTTAATTAATTGATATAAGCTTTAGTTGATCTTTCACATAAACCGTATGTGTTTATTTAATTTATACAGTTTAACTTTAATTGATCCTATAAATAAACCTTACGTAATTATTGAAGTAAAACACATTTAATCATGAACTTCTGTTTATTTTTATCTCTTGCAATTTATCCAAAACACTTCTATGGTTATTGAAACTTTATTGCCATTTCCTATCACATGGCAACAGGAGACTTCAAAACATCCGTTCTTAAATGTAATGTAGCTTTAGCATTTTAAAAAACACCAATTAGGCATATAGCCAAGAACCAAGTAAAGCAGAATGAAAGGTTAACACGTTACAATAAGGGTATAAACTCTATCAATTATTGCTCAAGTAATGCATGAGTCATGATCATTTAAAGCATGAATTAACCACCATTTAAGCAACATGATTTATATCCTACATTTATTCATGCATTAAATTATCAGGACTCAACTGCAATACAAAAATTAGCATTAACTTTTCAAATTTGCAGTTTCAAAATTCTAATGTTTGGTAATACTTCAAAAGGGCACAAATTATACATAAAAACTACTTGCGTATATAATGTGTACCCTTATTGAGAAGTTTTGAACTCCAGAAACCTTTTAGAGTTGTGAAACGTCCTATACATAAACAATGCACAAGGCTTTCCACTTAAATACATTTACAGTGTAAATGTACACAATTCAACACAAACCCATTTCTTTAAGGCACATGAAATATACAAACAAATTCAATGCACTTAAGGTACACATAGGCTCTTGATGAACTAAGTAGCAAGTGTAAAAACTTCACCAACGTTCACTTTATAATAACATAAGAACAAAACAACATATAAACGGTCAATGAAAACCAATAGCATTGAGGGCTGGATTCAAGATCAATGTAACACTGCTGACATTGGACAACAGCAACTGTCATTCAAATCCTGAGCCAGTTGACTGTTGGCAGTCTGCAGCCAACAGGCATCTACCCCCTTTCCCCAGGTGAACTAATCACCTGATTGAAACCAATCAAGGAGTCAGTCAGAAGGCAGCAGGACACAGTCATTCCTGAAACAATCAAGGAGAACTTCTAAATGAGAAACACTGTGCTTTTTAACCCTGGACACAAAGCTGGACTTAACTTAACTGAGACTTCAAACCCTTGAGGAGCTGATGTGCTGCTGCTGCTGCTGAGGAGGAATGTTTCAGGACTGAACACTGGTGAGACATCCACAATGGAACATTTGATTAAATTGCTGCTCCCAAGTTGAGCAGACGTGTGATTTTGTTACCTGTTTGCTAAACAGGTCAGGCCATATTGCCGGAGCAAAGAAGCTGGCGAGCTAAAGGAGCAACTTCAAAAGACTCAAGATTCCCTCAAAAGGCAGGTCTCAAGCCTGGCTGTCTGGTTCAAGGGTTTGGTAGGATTTCCCCTACCTAAATAAACATTTGAATTCTTGGGACATCTGCACACACGTAACACTCAACTGCAGCACGTGTAATGTGTTTGGTGCCTTGATTTCTATGAATAGAATTGGGAATGTTTAGCATATGTTGTATGGAGGGTAAAAGGTGCCCTAAAGAATCTGTGAATTGAAGGCCTATTTTATTTTATTTAATTGTGGGATTTTCCTTGATTAAGTTTAAGTGTTTTTTGTTATTTGTCAACATTCTGTGTCGTGTGTTTAATTAATTCTCCACCAGCTCAAGAGTCTAACCTTTGGCTTGAAGCATTTGTATAGTAGTCAATCATTTGCTGATGCTTGGCAGCCAATGTGAGTGGTATATTCTTAAAACAATTTGTACGACGAGCAACCTGCTTAAAAAAAGCTATGCTTTGCCTCAAATCTCATTGTCCATTGCCCCACTAAAGGTCCAAAACATTCAATCACCTGAGGGTAATGCTCAATGTAGTGATGTTTTGGTCGGAGTCGTGCGGGGACAAAAGCTCCAAAAATCCATTTCTGTGTTCAGTGATTCTGCATTCCAAGTAGGCAATGGTCTCTTTATTGTAAGCAGGTGCCACAACGAGTTCAACAATGTCTTTTAAATCAAGCAACACAAGCCAAGCAGGCTCTTCCTCTGGTATTAAGTCTCCAATAATTAATGGGAGCAACCTTATTAAATTCCAATTTCCATGGGCATTGCCTCCGACAGTCTTTGTAGTTGCTAAAGTGCGAGCTATAACATGTGGTTTGTTAGTTTTATCCCCCCACTTATACGGGAAGTTTATGATTAAATTGTTTAGAGTGTCAAGAGAGAGATACTTTTTAGAAATTAGTATTCCAATGCAGAGAGGAAAACTCAACTAGTCCCTCAAACAAATCATGAGCAATGACGTGAAAATAAGACAAATTCTTGGAAAACGCACACTCTTTTTACTCCACAACAGATTGTTGAGCTGTCATTTGCGGATCTAATGTGTGTATCATGTACGTCTTTGGTTCTTGGTGTAAAATGTCCTGACTGAACAGTCTTATCCTGAATGTCTGATCTCATGTCCATACAACTTCACATCAGTACTCTTGCACAATACTGCCAAATAAATTGAAGATACAGTTGAGTGAGATCCTGGTGGTGAATTATTTAAAATCCAGCACACACCACAAAGTTTATGGGTCTTTCTGGATGTGCCTCAAAATCATCAACATATAAAGATATTGATGATTTCAATTCCTCTTCTGTGAAAAAAATATTTTCTTTAAAGAAAACTGCTCTTACTTATACTGCTCTTTGGCTGAGGTATTTCTCTGTGCCTTGTTGGTTTTGACAGCACTTTCTGTAATGTCAGTGATAACTCAAAATAGGAATATAATGAAATGCCCTATTTGTATTAGGATCAAGGATGTACTCAACTGGGTTCAATGTTCTGTTGACGGTCATCGTTGTGCTTATCGTCATCATCGTAATTATCATAATTTTTGGGACTTTTTATCTAGAATTATTTTTCACTCTTTTGTTTAAAAGCTACATCAACAATATCTGGACTTTGCATTTTATTTTGATGCAAATGAGTCACAGTTACAGCCCATTTAGTCTCTGTGCGGCATTCTTCAATCTTATCTGCCACAATAACTTCATGTATAATATTTATTAATTGGCATAGGGATCTAAGCCCAAAATGTACACATTTGTGACAATGTGTCCATTAAGTCACATGTTTTCTATGCATAACATAAACAGGTCACTGGTTTGTTTAGCCTGCATTAAAACTACAATCCTTATTATTGACAGAAAGTGCTGCATTCAAAGGGAAACAGCAAATTGGCGATTTCATTCTGTCTCCTCTGACAGATGTATACAGTCCCACGACTAGGTAAGATAAGCCTGTAGACAACGGTAAGCAACAACATGTTTAAGTAGGCTATATTTTTGTAAACGAGATTTACAGTTTATCCCAGGACGACTACATGCTGCCAGACAGGGCTTCCAACAACAACAACAACAACAACTGGGTAATCAAACGTCTGTGCACTCAAAAAGCAGAATTTGTCAACTTTCCTGCAGCCTATGGACACACGACGTGTACACTAAAGGGATGGACATGTTTCGAGATCCCTTTAACGATGAACAAAATAAAGCTTCATTGTGACAGAAATGAAGCTACACGGACACAGAATGTTAAAACGAAAGTGAAGAATTGTGGCTTTTAATTGGTCGAGCGACGCAGGAGGCGGGACTAAGGGCAAGTTCGACTCGTCCCTCAAAGGAGAAGTAACACCAACGACGACTTCACTTTTAGGCAATAGGTGGTGACAGCTTTACCTCTCCAAACCTGCCGAGAGAATCAAAGACAGGCTGAATTGTTGTTCGTTTAAACGGTAGGTAAACAGCAGTGCTTGTTTACGTATCATTCAAGAGTGTCTTTACTTTATTTTTCAGTGTTAAACCTCACCTGGTATCATGATGGCAGTTCTAATGTAACGCCTGCAGCCTGCTGAAGAGGTTCAGTAAATTCATCACGCAGAAGGCAGTGCAGTGGTTCATCTCAAATGTTGACGTTAAATTCTTATAACAAAGGTGTGCTCGTTACGTCATAGTTACATTATTACATAATAGTCTATACGGGTCTCCGGGGCTTCTGACCAGTACAGGGCTTCTGTAATAGTTCAAGGTTGGACTAAGAAGCCGCTTGCTGCCCTGCTTTGGATCTCTCTCCCAGGTTAAATGATGTCTTTGGCAGTGTGAGCTTCATCCTAAAGCTCGTTAAAAGTATCAGCTGTTGTTGAAGTTGCTCCTGCAAACCCCCATCTTGAGTGTTTTGTAAGGTTAAATTATCCTGAGATGTTCCTTGGTTGCAGTGTCTGTGTGGCAATTCAACAATCCCTTTCATAAACAGGACTAAATTATTTAAATGTTTTAACCTTGTCAGAGATATACTCACACTCTAGTCACTTTCTGATTATCCAAATGTAAATGTGGGGCACAATGTGCATGTTAGATTATTAAAGTGTCAGACAGTATCAGATTTGTTACTAACTAAATTGACTTGTCATTACCTTCAGACACAAAAATGGCTGCACTGCACCGTCTGAGACAATGCCACCCTGCGGGCATTGCTATCTCTCATCTTCACACAAGCAGCCGGGCGTCAGCCAAACAGCATTACAAAATGCTTGTGCTCGGAGGAGGAAGTGGAGGCATTGCAATGAGTGCTCGGATGAAGAGGATTATGGGAGCTGAGAACGTGGCTGTTGTGAGCCCAGCGAGGCAAGGAACTGCTGTGCCTCTTTATGTATTTTTTTTTTTTTGGCCGATAATAATAAACATAAACAACAAATTAAAACAGCACAAAGAAGTGGTGGCTCTCACCTATTTAGCTGTTTTGCTTTTTATCCTCTCACAAACTTAATTCTTTATCAAGTAAACAGTGTTTCTGTATTTTCAGACTCACTACTATCAGCCAATATGGACCCTGGTTGGTGCTGGTGCCAAAACCGTAGCCTCATCAGGTCGTTCCACTGCGAGCGTTATGCCGTCTGGAGTGAAGTGGGTGAAATCTAAAGTTCAGGAAATAAACCCGGCTACAAACACTGTTCGAACAGATGACGGGAATGAGGTATGTGTTTTCTGTTAATGTATATATTAGAATGATAAAAACTGCTTAATGTCAGCTTCTGACTTGGTGTTATCTTGTAGATGGTAGAGTAAGAGAAATTCGAAAAATGTATGATGAAGTGCAGTCTTTCTTTCACATTACAGATCTCCTATGAGTATTTGATTGTGGCTCTTGGTTTACAACTCCATTATGAGAAGGTAATGCTTCATTCATTCAGCTCTACCTCCACCAAGTAACCTTCCTTTCATATATTAATAAGTTACACCAAAGGAAATGTATGCTTTTGTTGTCGGTAGATCAAAGGACTGCCTGAAGGATTCGACCATCCAAAGATTGGGTCAAACTACTCAGTGAAAACTGTGGAGAAAACGTGGAAAGCCCTGCAGAACTTCAAAGAGGAAACGCTGTGTTTACTTTTCCAAATACTCCTGTGAAATGTGCTGGAGCTCCACAGAAGATCATGTATCTATCAGATGCCTTTCTCCGAAAGGTATTAATTACAGAATATCATATTTATGGGGTACATTTCCAAACCTATCAAGTGCTCTTTTATTTATTTTTGTCTTTCTATCCAAGACAGGAAAAAGGGCAAGGGCCAACATTGTGTACAACACATCGCTCCCTGTGCTCTTTGGGGTCAAGAAATATGCAGATGCATTGTGGGACATTGTAAAACAACGTGACCTACAAGTAAACCTGAGGACCAACCTGGTTGAAGTGCGGGCAGACAAGCAAGAAGCTGTGTTTGAAAATCTTGACAAACCAGGCGAAACCACAGTGATTGAGGTAACTGTGTTCAGGTACCTCAAAAGTGACTTTACAAAGTAGTATAGTATTAACTTCCTGTGCCATGGCTTACAGTATTCACTTTCCTTAAAAAGTTCTGACTTTACTTTTCTGTTATTAGTATGAAATGCTTCATGTCACACCACCAATGGGACCCAATTTGGTGGTTAAAGGCAGTCCACTGGCAGATGAGGCTGGATGGTGGATGTTAACAAAGAAAACCTCCAACACAACAGGTATCCAAATGTGTTTGGGATTGGAGACTGTACCAACCTGCCCACATCTAAAACTGGTGCTGCTGTTGGTGAGTGACAACTGAGTCATCAGTTTGAACAATGCATTGATGCAATAATGGAAAGCACCCTGTTGCTGCACACAGTTCCTACACTTTTATTACTTGTTAACTGCTTGCTCTTTTTGTGTATTGCTCAATAAGCAGCAGTTTACAGGACAGTATAAACCTTTTCAACAGAAACCATAAAGCTTGTAATTGAGGGACACATCTCCGTAGTATCGGTCTCGTTAAAAAAAAAAAACAATTCAGTTGCATTTGTATTGGCTTATTTTGTTGTATTATAATCGAAGTGACAAAGACATGCTTTGCCATTCGCTCAAGTTCGACCCTCTGTGCCCAGTTCATTTCCTGTGCCTGTGTCATTTCCTGTCTGTCAACTGTGGATTCAGTGATGGGACGTTCTTGGCAATTTAGCATCAATGGTGATTACATTGTTACGTAAGGAAGTACTTTCACCTCCAGCAAACTCACTGTAGTAAAGAGTCATGTAAATGCTCCTTCTCAATCAATCCAATCAGTTTATTAGTTACCATGTAACCATGACCTTGTATGAACTTATGTAAGACTCCTCACTGCGTTTTATATTTTACATTTGACATTAACTCCTCAAGATTAACCCAAGCTGCTCCCCACAAGCCCACTACCCAAATATGTAACAAGTGAACTATTTTGATATGTACACAACTAACTCACAAACTACCTCAAGGTCCCGTCAGAGTGTAAGGCCAAGCCTCAGAGTCAGTTTGCCATCTAAGATTCATGCATAAGAAACAAGACTGAACGAAGGAAAATAGACAAAGCCTCCTCAGAAGCAAAACTCTCTCAGACCAGCAGGCAGGTTGCGCAGCTGACCAAGAGAGACAAAAAGTGATGGAAAATGGCATGGCCTAGTTGCCCACCCATGAGTCACGCCCAGCATCCAATACCAGGAGCAGGGACTGACTGTTACTTCTATTTATTTATTTGTTGATTTAACATAGACATACAGTAACATTAGTGCTGTAACATTTAACCATATTTAAGTCCCAGATGCACTGCTCTTTGTGTTTATAGCAACATTGGACTTTGCAACACCTGTCCATGGGAGGTTGTTGAAGTTACCCATAGAAATAGACACTCCACAACACAAAGAGAAGGAGCCTCGTTGACTTGCCATTGCAAGTACATGTGCTCACTTGGGCAAATGGAACTAGCAGATTATGGAGTATATTTTTATTTGTCTTGAAGCTGACAAGGTACTTTCAGGCATGGTGATTAAGGAATTTGGTGTCATATTGCACCCTGCTGGACAAACTACACACTATGGGATCATTTCTAAATGACCTCAAGCGTCGTTCTCCATGCAATGTTCTGTGAAAAAAAAGTTTTCATAAAGGGGCTTATCTGAAATTAAAGGCTATTTAATTATACCAATATATATATATGTGATAGGCCTACAATATTAGTCTGATATAATTGCCACATTGATGTATTTTTCTGGCACTGGAAAATCATTTTTACTGCATTCAAACCACTAAAGGTCAAAATGTCTTCCGAATGTTTTCTAGTTTTTTTTTTATCACTGGAAAGTGACAGATTTAAAAATACTCAAACCAGACGTGATTCAAAGCAGACACACTCAGTTTGTGAATGTGTAGTTCAAAGTTCTAGTTTTGAAGGTGGATGGTGACATGTCCTTTAGAATCAGATTTATTGGCCAGGTATGCTTACACACACAAGGAATTTAACTTTGGTGAACTGTGCTCTCATATGTACAGGTACATCATTAAATATCAACAATAAACATAATAACAAAAGACTAATATTTACATGACTAAATATGAAACAGTGCAGTGGTGCCTAGTGCAAAAGATACTGAAGTAACATGATGATAAGTAAAATGCAGTTATGTGACAGAAGGGTCAATTACAGTATTTTCATAAATAAGTGTGCGTACATTGATCATTTAAATTGAATAATATATACATACATGTATATTTACAGTGACGGTTGGTTCAGAGTCATTTCACCGCGACAGGTCTGACACTCTGTGACTGTTTAGCGTTCATCAGAGTGACCGCCTGGGGGAAGAAACTGTTCTTATGACGGGTTGTTTTTGCCTACAGTGTTCTGTAACGCCTGCCAGAGGGGAGGAGTTTGAAAAGTTTGTGTCCTGGGTGTGAGGGGTCTGCAGTGATACTACCTGCCCGTTTCCTGGCCCGGGACTGGTATAAGTCCTGGATGGGGGGCAGGTCGACACCAATGATTTTGGGTGAAGGGGTGAAGGGGGGCTTCTCCTGAAGTCCACTGTCATCTCCACAGTCTTGAGCGGGTTCAGCTCCAGATGGTTCTGACTGCATTAGAGAGCCAGCTGCTCCACCTCCCGTCTGTAAGCAGACTCGTCTCCGTCCTCGATGAGACCGATGATGGTGGTGTCGTCTGCAAATTTCAGGAGTTTCACAGAAGGGTCCCCTGAGGTGCAGTCATTGGTGTAGAGGGAGAAGAGCAGTGGGGAGAGAACACACCCCTGGGGGGCGCCAGTGCTGATTGTCCGGGTGCTGGATGTAGTGCTCCCCAGCCTCACCTGTTGTCTCCTGTCAGTCAGGAAGTTGGTAATCCACTGACAGGTGGAGGCCGGCACTGTGAGCTGGGTGAGTTTGTGGTGCAGGATGTCCGGGATGATGGTGTTGAAAGCCGAGCTGAAGTCCACGAACAGGATCCTAGCATAGGTCCCTGGGGAGTCGATGTCATGCAGGATATAGTTCAGTCCCATGTTGACTGCATCATCCACCGACCTGTTTGCTACAGGGGGTCCAGCAGGGGGCCTGTGATGTCCTTCAGGTGGCTCAACACCAGTCTCTCAAAGGACTTTGTGAGGGCAGTAAGAAGATCATAGTCTGATGGTTGGGATGGTGTTAATAGGCTTGGGTGGTGGTTGTGAAAACCTGCAATAGAAGCTGTTCAGGTCTTCAGTCAGTCTATTTTTACCTGCAGGAGGGTGGGTGGGTCTCCTGTAGCTTGTGACCTCTCGCAGGCCTCTCCAAACCGCCGAAGGATCGTTAGCTGAGAAATTTTTCCTCAGCTTCTCAGTTCTCAGTGTAGCTCCTCTTAGCTACCCTGATCCCACTCGTCAGCTTGTTCCTGGCCTGTTTGAACAGGTCCTGGTCCCGCTCCTGTAGGCCTCCTCCTAGGCCTGATGCAGCTTCCTAAGTTGAGGTGTAAACCAGGGCTTGTTGTTGTTGTATGTGCAGAAGGTCCTGGGGCCCGTTTCTGAAAGAAGGTTCAACAAACCCTCAGTCTAACCCTGAGCTCTGAGTTGATTTACTCTCAGATGGGAAACTATGAGTTTTCGGTTCCAGATCAGCAGATTTGAATTTGGTAAATCAACTCTGAGTCGGTCCACTCGGTGTTCAGCGCGTGCACCACGGCGATAAAAAGTCAACATGAATGGAGCCCTGATTCTACGATTCACCATGGCAACAAGTGACAAAAAAGAGATCCTCCTACTTTAACCATTTCGAAATATAGCATATCTTCATGTGGCCATAGGCTACGGCGAATATGAACAGGTTTTAAGATGGAAAAAAAGGAACACTGCTGCAGCGCAGCAGCAAAGGAGAGAAAAGTAGTGTAAGAGAAAACAGCTGCTCACGTCAGCACGTAATGAAGTTTATTAATTTAACATTTAATCAGAATTATAATATTGCAGGTCAAAACTGGTGGAATTGTATTAAACCTACAATTTATTTTCATTAAGATGCAATCCAGCAGAAGAAAAGCGACTTTAAAACAGCTCAAAATGAAATATAAGAACATAATAGGCTCATATAGATTTAAAGTTAACTTCATTCAGAGTCTATTTGAATGTGCATTAACTTTATCCCCAACATAGGCTAATGCTGTATTCACTCCTATGATTCACACACATAGCCTAGGCTAAATATCCTCTGTTCGATAAAATAGTTCATCTTATACGCTGTAGTAGGCTTTTGCCACACTAACATATCATATTAAAACAACCTGGATTTTTATTCAGACAAACTGTGAATCTTCACTAACACACGTGTGATACGGAGTGAATGAAAGATTGAGGAAATAAAACAGCGTTTCTGGCTCGTAAAGAACCGGGAGGAGACCGAGAGAAACTCTGGGTTCATTGAAGAAAACCTGCTCCCGACCAGGTTAGGATCACAGACTCAGATACCGTAGTAACTGACTCAGAGGTAAATTTACCTCTCCCTCTGGAACGGGCTGGAGTTACCCCTCTTTCTCGGGTTTGAGTGAACTCCCCCTCTAAAACGGATAACCCAGAGTTTCCCTCATTTCAGGGTTAACGGACTCAGAGTTTGCACATAAAAATGACAAGAATCCGTATTATTTTTAATACTAAATGCTAAAACAAACTGCTATCACAATAAGTATGTAGTACCTACTGTATAGAGTAAGTGTTTACGCCACACAATCATAAAAATTTAAAAGGCTTACCATTTGTTTTCCCGTTCACAGCTGCACAGTCTGCTATCCTGCACAGAACCATCAGTAAAATACTGAAAAATGAGAAGCCAGATTGGAAGGTAAGTGCCAAGTTAACATCAAGAACATGAGGAATGTTGAACTTCTCTGTCTGAAAATTGTCTGTTGAAAAAGATCAGGGTACATAAGCACTTCTCATCTTTTTTTTTGTAGTATGATGGCTACACTTCATGTCCATTGGTTACAAGCTACAATACAGTCATTCTGGCAGAGTTTGACTACAATGGACAACCATTGGAAACATTCCCCATCAACCAAGCCAAAGAAAGAAGACTCATGTACCACATGAAAGTTGATGTGATGCCTCACCTTTACTGGCACGGCCTTCTGAGGTAAAATATTATAAAGTGATTATATGTTTAAAGTGGTTAAAAAGGATGGAATCACACCATTCACTGCAATGAAATGAGGTTTTTTGTTTTTCTTTCTTTAGGGGCTTGTGGGGTGGACCAGAACCCTACAGGAAACTCCTTCATCTTGGGATGAAATAACACCTCATGATCAATATGCAAAGTTATAGTTACATCTACTAAACTTTAAGTAAAAAGTTAGCACATTAAGTCCATATCTTGTGAGGGATGGACACATACAGTGGCTTGTGTACTACTATAATCTATTGTTTGGACATTCTGGCTTGTCTTATTAACAGAATCAAATAACTGTTTGAACATGAAACCTGCAGTAGATAATGTATTGATAATACATAAGAACATAACCCCCTTTAATGAGAACCAGTAGCTCATACTGAAACACTGATAACCAAAACTCCCCCTGCAGTTCTACAGTATTTATCTTATAGCTGCTTAAAAACTCAACCAATATATGTGATTTTTATGATATTAAGTATGATCAATGTAAAAAGCATAAAAACTCTGATAGAAAGCTAACATGCATTCATGTGACATGAAGCATTGAGGAAATAGGAGGTTTTTGTATCAACTGCTTTAAACCAGGGCTGCAATTTAGGATTGCAATGTTTAAAGAGTTAATAGTGAACTAGACACTCCACAACACAAAGAGAAGGAGCCTTGCTGGCCATTACGTTTTAAGGCGAGAAGACAGACCAAAGTACTTTCAAAAGCCGGTGGGTTTCACAAATGTCACAGAGTCTAACTGAAGATAGAAAGGCACTTTCAAAGTGACTATATATAGTTTTGATATATTCCAAATAACTCAGTTTTTGTAAAGATTAATGTTTAAAAAAGTGATTTTTTTTAAAATATCTACATTGTATTTTCTTATTTGCTTCTGATGAATATTTTAGGGGTGCTTTACTCAACAGATGTAATCATTGTCCTACCGTCATTTAGTTTTTTATATTGGGTATATAAACATATATCATTTTAGATCGCTTGTTTTAAAGTTAAGTATACTAATGCACTGTATTATCTGATTAGTCTCTTGTTATTTCAGCAATTCAGTGGTCTTCATGTCTGTTTTGAATTGAAATACAAACCCATTCAATCTGTGTCAAGTTATTTTTTCACACTAAATTAACTTTGTATGCTACTGAAAATGTTCAAGTTTTTGCCTCCGAACCTTTGTCAAGTGTGTCATGATAGGCTATCCATAATAGCAATTTGCCCTATAGTGAGAGCGAGTAAGAATTGTAATTAAAGATACCCACATTAACATTCTTACCATCTACAACTGTAACGTGATTCTTCCTAGGAGAAATTACGTCACTTTTACCATTCATGTGTAATGGACTTTCAATTTCTCATCTCTACAGAATGAACGTTCAAGATTCTGCAATCGAGTTCCTCCAAGGAAAAACTCAATTTTCAGATATCTACATCTCAACTGTTGTTGATTATAATTTTAGTGTCAGATATCCAAAAGGAAAATCAAGGACATCAATATCCCTAATGTCATTTTTAATATCCAATTTCTGATTGCAATCAAAGAGACAGTCTACCTTGCAGTTTTTCTGCTTGTGCTGAAATCAAACAGCAGCCATTTTCTTGCATTTTTGTCAAAACACAATACAGGAGACACAATGCCCTCTTACAAACAGAACACACAAAACAATGCTAGAGACACAGCTACCGATAAAGGAAAACAAAACACTAAACAAAAGCAATAAACCAGTATTACATTTACAATCGGCTCTCCAGACGCAGCACCTGACATAGTGATACTTCTCCACTAGATGCCCCCAGACATCAAGAGTTTCACTACACACAGTTTATCTTAGTGATGGTAGATAAACTCAGTGTGTTTATGGGTTGTCCCTCAAGAAATGAACACCCATATTTTGTCATGTGGACACCTTATCACGACAGCTCTGCCCTCCATTGAGACAGTGTTGGCGGTGGGGAGCGGCCATTCCAATTAACAGCAATACATTTCTATGATGGATACAGAGAGTGCTAAATTCATGAAAACCTGAAAATATGATTTTCCTAAATGGCACAATGTTCCCCGGCTAAGCTTACAACAGGAATAAAATACAAGTTCAGGTTTATTTATTTGTGAGAAATGATTTTAAGTTCATTCCAGAATCTAAAGCACATCCAAAAGTGTTGAGAAGCACATCAGAATACAATATTCTGGCTTGTTGGTCTGCAGCATAAAATGATCTTTATACAGTCTATGGTCTGCAGACTACCCAGAGCCAACTAACATCTACCCAAACTCGAAAAGGGAAACATCAAACTTGTTATTTAATAGTAATAATAATATAATAACATTTTTGAGACTACATATCTCAATGGCTCTACAATTTGTGCCGTGGATTTGGACTAATTGTTTATAGGCCTGTTAACATAGAACTTCAAAACTGTCAGTCAGGAATTGTGCTTTTTGATTGGTCGAACGACGGAGAAGGCGAGACGAAAGTTAGTTTGAGCCTTCCCACTTAAGGGTGGCGACTGGAAGTTCACGTTTAGTTCAGCGCTCTGAGTTCGAAGTTCACGCAGGTTTTTCCATGTGCAGCTGCCAGCTCAGTCGGACTTACGTTTCCAGATTCATTTAAGGAACTGGACTAAAGTGAAAGGAAGACAGTGCGGTTGAGAGCAGAGCTGTTGGTCGGTAAGTGCATGAAAGAGTCTGTCTTTATCGACGTTTTAAAAAGCTGCACCAGAATGTCATGTTGTTGACAGTTTCCAAGAAAGATTGAATTCAGTATGCAGTGTAGAGAGAAACGGCTCAGCTGAGGTTAAGATGTAATCAAAGCTAAATAAAAGGGGTTTATTTATTTGATTATGGGTAAGTTATTTGTGCTATTGTCAGGTCAGTCAGTTTATTTGGGATATTCCTTGTTACAACAGCCTTATATGTGTGGTAAATACACAATCAAATGATGTTTTTTGTTTTTTTAAAGCTTTAGTTTTGAGCATTTTGTGCCATTATATCAGAGATAGGACAGTGGATAGAGTCAGAAATCAGGGAGAGAGAGAGAGAAGGGAATGACATGCGGGAAGGGAAGCCACAGGTCGGATTCGAACCCGGACCGGGCTTGGAGGACTACAGCCTCCATACATGGGGCGCTCGCTCTAACCACTGCCCCACCAGTGCCCCAAATTCATGATGTTCATGATTTGATCTTTTATCAAATTGGGTAAAAAATAAAAAAAATCTTCAAGTGGTCTGGCTCTGACCCCCTTTGATTATTTACAGTACTCGTATTCTCTAGTTACCTACCGGTTGTCAAAATGTAAATGCAGAGCAAAAATGTTGCTGGTTCATATCAGATTTGTTACTAACTAAATTGACTTGTCATTACCCTTCAGACACAGAATGGCTGCACTGCACCGTCTGAGACAATGCCACCCTGCAGGCATTGCTATCTCTCATCTTCACACAAGCAGCCGGGCGTCAGCCAAACAGCATTACAAAATGCTTGTGCTCGGAGGAGGAAGTGGAGGCATTGCGATGAGTGCTCGGATGAAGGGAATAATGGGAGCTGAGAACGTGGCTGTTGTGGAGCCCAGCGAGGCAAGCATCCAATCATTATCATTATTTCTCCTGCTTTTTTTTCCAGCCAACAATTAGAAACATAAACAACAAATAACCCCTCAAAAACTACAAAATAGTGGGATGATACATGTGCATGTGGGGTTTCAGTTTCTCAGATTGTTTTTACTCTGTCAAATGAAGCTAATGTATCAACTTTTCTGTGTTTGTTTCCACTTTCAGACTCACTACTATCAGCCAATATGGACCCTGGTTGGTGCTGGTGCCAAAACCGTAGCCTCATCGGGTCGTTCCACTGCGAGCGTTATGCCGTCTGGAGTGAAGTGGGTGAAATCTAAAGTTCAGGAAATAAACCCGGCTACAAACACTGTTCGAACAGATGACGGGAATGAGGTATGTGTTTTCTGTTAATGTATATATTAGAATGATAAAAACTGCTTAATGTCAGCTTCTGACTTGGTGTTAGCTTGTAGATGGTAAAGACAAATTAGAAAAATGTATGATGAAGTGCAGTCTTTCTTTCACATTACAGATCTCCTATGAGTATTTGATTGTCGCGCTTGGTTTACAACTCCATTATGAGAAGGTAATGCTTCATTCATTCGGCTCTTCCTTGTAAACTTTTAGTTTTATTGTTTATTTCATTCAGATACATCCTAGAAAAAGTGACTTATTGTTTATGTAGGTTAAAGGACTGGCAGAGGGATTGGATCACCCAAAGATTGGGTCAAACTACTCAGTGAAAACTGTGGAGAAAACGTGGAAAGCCCTGCAGAACTTCAAAGAGGGAAACGCTGTGTTTACTTTTCCAAATACTCTTGTGAAATGTCCTGGAGCTCCACAGAAGATCATGTACCTATCAGATGATTATTTCAGAAAGGTACTGAAATTAAAAATATAGTACATTTTAAGCTTTTCAATTATGGCTTTACAAATTAACTAAATATATTTAATGTTTTTATTTAAGACAGGTAAAAGGGAAAAGGCAAACTTAATATACAACACATCGCTCCCTGTGCTCTTTGGGGTCAAGAAATATGCAGATGCATTGTGGGACATCGTAAAACAACGTGACCTACAAGTAAACCTGAGGACCAACCTGGTTGAAGTGCGGGCAGACAAGCAAGAAGCTGTGTTTGAAAATCTTGACAAACCAGGCGAAACCACAGTGATTGAGGTAACTGTGTTCAGGTACTTCAAAAGTGACTTTACAAAGTAGTTAGGTAATAACTTACTATGCATCAGATTTAACCATATGACATTGAAAATGATGCTGTTATTTGTGTTGTATTTGTGTGTATGAACAACCAAATACACGTTATGTTTTTCTAACTTTACACCTACTTAGATGCCAAACTAGGAAAATGTTCTCTAGTTTGTCACCATCAACGTTTCTGTTCTCTTTATCAGTATGAAATGCTTCATGTCACACCACCAATGGGACCCAATTTGGTGGTTAAAGGCAGTCCACTGGCAGATGAGGCTGGCTGGTTGGATGTTAACAAAGAAAACCTCCAACACAACAGGTATCCAAATGTGTTTGGGATTGGAGACTGTACCAACCTGCCGACAGCCAGGACAGCAGCTGCTGTTGGTGAGTGACTACTGAGTCATCAGTTTGAACAATGCATTGATGCAATGGGAATCATACTGGTAAGGTATACATTTCATACAGTGTAATTCGTAAGTGCTTTTTCACTTTTTTGTGTCTTGTGCAATAACCCATTCCAGAGGGAAAATCCATCAGACTTTATAAAACGTGTTATTCAGGGTCATTTTATGGTCACATGTAATATTATGTTTCACCTTCAAGGTACAGTCTTCAAGGTACCCAAGTCTCTCAAACCAAAACAAAGCTGTCCCTTCAGCGCACCGCTTCACTTCTTCCCCATACCTCCCATAGTCGTGTTCTGAAAGGCATTACTCACTGATATATTTAACTGGAATATAGTTGAGATCGGCCATATAAACGTTTAAAATGTGAACCTTTTTTTTTTATCACTTTCTGCATGACTGCATTTTGACTGCAGTGAAGAATTTTGCCCAGTCATACTCATCAAGCGTACAGTCTTTGTATTTACGCGGGTTGATGAAATGTTGAACAGCGGTTCATAATCAAAACATTATTCAAACTGTATTAATGTTAATATTTCGGAACGTGCTAATTTACATGCAAATAAACTGCTAACATACAATGCCATGTAAGCCACAAGGTAATGGTCAGTTTGTAGGCAAGATCTCTTCAAGAACTTAATTCCAAAGTCTAGGAGCCCAAACAGCATTTACGCCACCCTTTGGTACAACAGTTAGACTTCAGGAAATCAAGGAGGGACTCATCTGAGGATCTCAGGGAGCAGGAAGGGACAACTGATAAATAATATGGTGCAAAGGCTGCAAGAGCTTTGTAAGTAATCAGTAACATTTTTAAATATTTTTTTTTATAGCAACAGGTCGCTGGAGAGAGTAAAAAGAGAGAGGCAGATATGGTACTGATACTGGACAGAGATAAAGTAGTCAAATTGATGAGTTATGTAAGCATTTCTACCTCTTGTTGTAGAAATGTACCTGAGATTATGAAAGCATGATTGAACCAATGACTCATTGTTGTCTTGTTTTATTATGGACGTAAATAGGGCAGATTAACGGGTTTTGAGGATTCTGAAGCTTGTTCGAGATCACAGCTTATATGGTTTGTTTAAAAATTGAGTTGATATTGTTTTATTCGTGTTGATAACGACCAACTATCTCATGAAGTAGGAGTGTAGGACATTGAACTGTCACTGTCAACAATTCCGCACACTACTCTTGCTCGGCATCACCAAAATAAAATCACTTGAATACTGTATAGAATTATTAAATTATGTTGATTTTGGACACAGCAATATTTGTCTTGTTTTTCTTTAAATATTAGAAAGGCTTACCATTTATTTCCCATTATTAGCTGCACAGTCTGCTATCCTGCACAGAACCATAAGGAAAATAATGAAAAATGAGAAGCCAGATAAGAAGGTAAGTGCCATGTCAACATCGTGAATATGAGGAATGTTATAACTGCTCTGTTGAAAGAACCTCTGATGAATAGGAATGCATTAAATAAAAGTAATTTTCTTGTTTACAGTATGATGGCTACACCTCATGTCCATTGGTTACAAGCTACAATACAGTCATTCTGGCAGAGTTTGACTACAATTTGCAACCCCTGGAAACGTTCCCCATCAACCAAGCCAAAGAAAGAAAAGTGATGTACCACATGAAAGCTGATATGATGCCTCACCTCTACTGGCACGGCCTTCTAAGGTATGTCGATTATTAATTAACATGTCAAAATCTGGCAACGGATATGGTACCACAACATAACAATTAATTGATGATCACTTTTATTCTACTAAAGGGGCGTGTGGGGTGGACCAGCACCATACAGGAAGCTCCTTCATCTTGGGATGAAATGAGACTCCACCATTATTATTGCGAGTTCATAGTAACATTCCCTAAACTTAAGGGAAAGAAGTAGCACATTAAATCAGTCGTTCTACTTAGGGCTGGACACACTGTATACAGCGGCTAGTACAATGGTCAAATAAGTAGCACATCATAATTATTACTTCAATATGTGTTAAGTAATACATTAAAATGAGTCACTTGGCCTGTGAGAAACACTGCAAATTAACAGTGAAATCTGCAGTCTTCTTGGCTTTTAGCTGCTTAAAGTTTAATCATTATTTTATGGTGACACATTGCAAGATCTTTCTGCTTTTAACAAACCCCATCAGTGGCATACTCAAGCTGAGTAGGGGCTAAAAATCCATTGGAAGGGCTCCTCAGAGCGCACTTTATCACAATGGAAGGGTCACTCAGAGGGAAAATTTTTCATCAACATCCACGAGGGCATTCTTGCAGGATATTTAAGGAATGGATAACAGTGTAGACCGAGCAGAAGTAATATTACTAAGACTGCTTCAAAAAAATTGTGAGGGAAAAAGGGATCGGTATTATAAGTGCATATTATCACAAAGTAATGTTCTTTATGTCCATGAATTTCATTGTAAAATACTATGTTCACTATTTTTTCTACCAAACATATTGTGTATGTGTTTGGCTTAACCACTTAGCAAACTGTCACTAGCACCATTCTTATCTTTTAAATACAAAATTATTTTTTGTATCAAGACATTCGTTTTTATCAGCAATTATTTTAAAAGATGAATCACTCTTTCATCTTTAAAATGAATGTTTACACTTAAACAATCTCATGTAACCATGCTGTTAAAAGCTATTCTTAAAGAAAAATCAGGAATGTACACTCAGTATAGTTTCTACCTTGTTGCAGTGTAAGGTATTTTATATCCTGAGATGTAACTGGCATGTTTTGTATGATTTAGCATCACTGGGATTTTTACATTGGGCCCCTACCACGGCCCAAACTAACCCGGAAAATTTCTATGACCGCACCTCCATCACACAAATGACCCATAAAAACTATGCTTTGTTTTACACCCTGAAAATGGAAGATAAATAATCACTGTAACATTTCCTCATAGTTTAAAAATAATTTAAACTTTGTAATCTACACACCTTTCAGACAGTTGAAGCAGGGGGGAGAGGGGCCTTTGAGACACACACTTTAGTGTGATGATTGACCCATTGACTGGAATTTCTACTTTTGACACTCTATCCATTTCATAATCTTTAGTAGAGTTCATTGTGATGCAATTTTCATTTTCAAATCCTAATCAAGCTGCACACCCGCAATAATGTTGTTGGGAAAAAAACTGCTGCAAAATGTAAAACAAAACCCTAAATAAAAACAAAAATGTTTTAAAAGCCTAGCACCTGTCTCCTCACTCAAAATGGACTTATGCGTTTATGTAGCCACTCAACAGTACAGAGATAACAACATGGATCAGGGGTGGGCAAATGGCGGGCTGGGGGCCACATGCGGCACCCGTCGACCCTCAACGTGGCCCTCGGGTCAACTTTTTACACATCAATTAATTGAAAACATGACGAAAACACGATGAAATCTGCCATGAAATCGTGAAAACCAGAAATACGTCCATAATAATATTTGATTACTGGTACATGTTGAGTTCAATTTGAGACATAATTGACTTTAATCGTTTTTTTGTATTCTACAATTTGGCCCTCCGGCAGTGAGAATTAAATGAATGTGGCCCTTGCTGTGACCAAAGTTGCCCATCCCTGACATAGACCAAGGGTGGGCAACTGGCGGCTCGGGGGCCACATGCGGCCCCCATCAACCCTCAACATGGCCCTCGGGTCAATTTTTACATATCAATTAATTGGAAAACATGAAAAAAACATGACAAAATCTGCCATGAAATCATGAAAACCAGAAATATGTCCATAATAATATTTGATCACTGGTATATGTTGAATTAAATTTAAGACATAATCGACTTTAATGGTTTTTTTGTATTCTACAATTTGACCCCCAGGCAGTGAGAATTAAACAAATGTGACCAAATTTGCCCCCCCCCCCCCCGCACAGACTGTAAATGGATAACGAGTGTGGTAGTTACGCTTCAGTCCAGCTGCGCACACACACGCACACTCACGCATCATCATCATCATCATCATCATCATAAGCCATTTTCCTGTTGACTCCACTCTCCACCTCCGCCACGTTGTTCCTCCTCCTCCTCCGTGTGTATGTGTGTGTGTGTGTGTGAGAGAGTGTGTGTGTGTGTGAGAGTGTGTGTGTGTGTGTGTGTCGATTCCTCCTGCGCACAAACCCAACGTTATGTTTTGTGATGAGGCGGGAAATGGCGTCCGCAGACATGGATGATCACTGAACTAGCCACCGAGCAACACACACACACACACACACACACACACACACACACACACACACACACACACACACACACACACACACACACACACACACACACAGCAGCTTGGCAGCAACAACAACCACGACCAACCAGCCAGGCCCCCCCCCCTCGCCCCCCCCCACCGACCCGGTGGCCGTCCACACGGTCGCGAGCCGAGAGCTGACAACGCCGCGGCGACATCAAAGGAGCCCCTCAAAAATCACCAGTAGGTAAACAAAACAACGTCAACATGTAAACAAAAAAAGAACGGGTCGACTCGCTGCTAGCTGGAGGCTAACGCGAAGGGGGCGTAGTCTAATGGTAACAAAATGTCGCGTTAGCCCCGATTAGCTGTAGCTTTGTTTATCAGGGACTAGATGGATAAATCACTTGTTTTACACGCACATGTTTACTGGGACACGCGTGACACGAGCTGTGGGAGTCAAAGTTATTCATGTCACTGCTTTCTGCTGCCATTGGGGGGCATTTTTTTTGTTAGCCGTAGTTAGCTCACCGTGTACTACCAGACAGCATCTGGATTACATTTTATTAAATCATTTCAAATGGTTAAAAAAAAATGTTGGGTTTTTTTTGTCACCACTCGATATCGCGTTTTGTTGTTGTTGTTGTTGTTGTTGTTGTTGTCCTTTCCAACATTCTGGGGGACATGAGTGTCAAAACAAAAAGTAATGAATGTGCTAAATATCAAACAGCTGGCTAATGTTAGCTTATCTGACGTCGTTGCCCTGATGTTACATAACAGGCAGCTTTCTGCCTTCACGTTTTATTTAACAACACAAAGCAGAACTAATCTTCACAAACTAACCTGCAGGTACTCTTTGATCTTTTTACTTAAATGCCGAAAGGCCTCGTGTTTCATGTTTCACCGCCCACTCCCCTGAAAGCTTCACAGACATGAGGTTGTTTTTTAACTTTATTTATAATGTTGTGAAATGACAGTGGCAACCAAAAATATACATATCTATAAATACTGGGTGAATAAGTGTTATATACGACTTACATTAAAGTTTTAGATATATATTGACACAGTAGGCAATCATTAAGTTTCCTCCATCTAAAATAACAACCTGCTATCATAGAGTACTTATTTCCTTTTATTCTTATATAAGTGTTGTTTGTTGTTGTTGTTTGTTTTTGTTTTTTTAGGGGGGGTAGCAAGAAATAATAATCAGACTAATGAGGTGTCATTACACATATACAAGTATAGAGTAACGAAATGAGGTTTGGCATCTCACCAGAAGTGCAAGAATCTGTGCTGTGTACAAGTAATTACAAAATTTACAGATGTAGACTTAAAAAAAGTGAATTATTGGGTATATATGGATGGCTGGATTAATGGGATGCTATAAATATAAATAAATGCTATGAATGTAAGTATATTTTTAGGGTTATAATATACAGATTAAGGTGCAGCGAGCATGCTATACTAGATTGCAGATAATATACAGAATATGGACATATTGTACAGGTCGATAACTTATCGAGGTGATATGAACATACTATAATACAATAATACAGGTGGATGAGATGTGTGTGTATGATCAATAATTAAATGTTAGTTGCAGCCCTAGTTTTGGTGTCAAGAGGGGTAAAAGCAGGAACTGAAAAGTTAAAGTATGTACAATACAAATCTTCATAGAAGTTTTTTTTTTGCCAGAGGTCAACATAAGAGTAGAAACCATTGGGAACAATGGTTTTCACTTTCACTCTGAATGTTGTCCGATAGGTAACAGGAAGTTGCAGAACAGAAACCTCAACAATCTTGAATGTCAAAGGCATTAAAAGAAACAGTTTGTCAGGCAGACAATTTTTGTCATTTAATTTAATGGTAACAACTTGTATAAACCAAATTTGTATTATTGTTTTAAATGTTGATTTATGTTTTTGTATTTAATTTTATTGGTCAATTTGTTTTGGGGGGTTTTGTCATAAAAAAAACAAAAAAAAAACATGCAACAGCATCAGTGTTTGCCTTTGAGTCCAGTGTCTGTCCTGTCGCACGACTCGCACCTAAGACTTGTCAGGTTACTGACAGATAATAATTGGAGAAGTTGATGTGTTTGAACCTTGAGAAGTAAAAGCTCCACAGCTCTTCGGACAGAATTGTTTGATAAGTGTTTAAAAAGAAATGGAGATATAAATGAAGACATTTGAAGACAAAAGCAGTTAAACAAATGAGCTCTGTTTCATTCAGTGTGCACTTTGTTGTGTTTGGAGTGAAATAATAGAAAGGACAGTTACTTTCTATTGTGTATAGTTTTCTGTTTGAAGCTTCTCGCCCCTTTCTTTAAATACAAGTTCAGTGGTCAGTGTCATCCCCAGCACAGACAGTACTGTGAGCAACAAGGTTGAATTGAATTCAACTTTAGCTTTTGAAATACAGGATCAGACTAGATTCAGATCTAGATCATTTCTCATTAAAAATCTACTTTTGTTCATTAATCCATCCCAGAACAAGATTACTTATTGAGTGTTTCCTCTGGATGACTTCAGTGGGATTTAAGAAAGTCTAGAAAATTCACCAGAACATAGGGCTAAACTACGTTGGGAAACACTGACATAGTGACTTTTTTCTTTCTGGAATATACTTTTCTATTTAAAAAGAAAGGAAGAGGAAATACAACCAAATAAGAGCAGTGTATTTTGATGTCAATCAATTGATATTTAGATTTTTAAAAATCCTACTTTTAATGAGTTTGTCGTAATCTTTTGCAAGTGAAGAAAACCGTGTAATATTGTTCAGAAAATAAAGCTTGTGGCGTGCTTTATTACATAGTTAACTACGATGAACACATTGGAAATCACGCAGGAAGACAGTTCAAACCTTCTTTCACTCCAGGAGACTCTCTGAAGACTGATGGTGACATCAGGAAGATTAAAGATCAGTCAGAAAAACAAGAAAAGAGATGGTTTTGGTTTGCATTAAAAACAGAAAAGTGACAGCGTTATGCGCATCCTGCAAGTGCAATGGTAAAACGATTTGTTACCCCATCAGAGAGTATCAAAAATAGTGAAACGCTTGTAAGCTTGCATCAGATCTCTGTTTATACATTCTAACAGTGTAAAGTCTGCATCATAACTCTGTGTCCTGAAGTGCAGTACGAACAAGTTGTGAATTATAAATGTGGTTTTCTTAAAAGAAAAGTGAAAAATGTTTCTCATAACTCAAAGTTGATACATTGTTCTTCTTCCTCCGTCAGATTTATCTATGTGACGTCGGAGCATGATGAGGCTGAGAGTGCGTAAAGCTCCTCAGCAGCCAAACATAGGCCGTCCAACACATCCATCCAAGGCCAAACGGAAACACTGTGAAGTGGAGCCATCCCCTGTGAAAGGTCGAGGCAAAATGCAGAAGAATGAGACCGGCCTGTTCTCCACTATAAAGAAGTTCATCCGTGGAAATGCCGTCAAGGTGGGATTGCATCGTGTTTTCAGCTTCACGTTAACAAGTTCAGTGTTTCTCTTGTGACGTGAAATGAATCTCAGAGTACACGCACGCGTACTTACAGCAGCATTGGCATTGTGCTGATAATGTGAAACAGTGGCTTAAGACAAAAGACTATTACAGTGGAAATAACCAGATGCATAGTCTGTTTTTAAAAGACCAGCGCCCCTACAGTGTAGCCAACAGTGAAGCCTGTAGATTTCTGACTATAGCCTCCATACATGGAGCGTGACCTAACGCCTACGCCATGAGCACCAGTATTATAAAAATATATTGTGGTTCATTGTGATTAATCACAATTAAATTTGACAGCACTACTTCTTATTCTAAGTAAAATATTTTCAGATTGAAAGTTTAAAAAGAAAAAAAAATGTATATATTTGAGTCATCTGTAACCCTGACTGGATTTGTAATCCTGTTTTTTTTTTTGAATTTTTTAACTAAGGTGGAGCAAGATATCCCCGCCAAGAGGAGTCGTCTTGATTGTAATTCTGATAGCAATCTAATCACTTCAACGCCACAGACT